CTTGATGTCAAATACATATTCCTTCGACTATGAGATTATGTAACTCCCGGATACCGGAGGAATGCCTTGTGTGCTATCAAACGTCACAACATAACTGGGTGATTATAAAGATGCTCTACAGGTATCTCCGAATGTGTTTGTTGAGTTGGCATAGATCGAGATTAGGATTTGTCACTCCGAGTTTCGGAGAGGTATCTCTAGGCCCTCTCGGTAGTACACATCATAAGAAGCCTTGCAAGCAAAGTGACTAATGAGTTAGTTGCAAGACGATGTATTGCGGAATGAGTAAAGAGACTTGCCGCTAACGAGATTGAACTAGGTATGAAGATACCGACGATCGAATCTCAGGCAAGTAACACACCGATGGACAAAGGAAATTACATATGTTGTCATAACGGTTCGACCGATAAAGATCTTCGTAGAATATGAACGAGCCAATATGAGTATCCAGGTTCCGCTATTGGTTATTGACCAGAGAGGTGTCTCGGTTATGTATACATAGTTCTCGAACCCGTAGGGTCCGCACGCTTAACGTTGGATGATGATATTGCATTATATGAGTTATGTGATTTGGTGACCGAATGTTGTTCGGAGTCCCGGATGAGATCACGGACATGATGAGGAGTCTTGAAATGGTCGAGAGGTAAATATGATATATAGGACGATGGTATTCGGACACCAGAAGTGTTCCAGAGGGTATCGGGTACTTATCGGGTCACCGGAAGGTGTTTTGGGTGCCCCGGCAATCCTATGGGCCATATGGACCTTGTGAAGGAACACACCAGCCCACAAGGGGCTGGTGCGCCCTATAGGGCCATAGGAGGAGGAGAAGGAAAGGGGGGAAGGGAAACAGAAGTGTGGATTAGGATTCCCACTTCCTTCCCTCACCCCCCCTCTTTCCTTCCCTTCATGCATACATGGAAAGGGGGGCGCAAGGCAAGGCAGGGCCCCTAGGGGGCGGCGGCCAACCCTAGGGCGCGCCCTGGCTGCCTCCGCTCCCCTCCCACATATATGTATGTGGGGAGGGGGCACCTCACAAACACACAACATCAATTGTTAGCCATGTGCGGCGCCCCCCTCCACAGTTTACACCCCGGTCATAGTTTTGCGGTGCTCAGGCGAAGCCCTGCGAGAATCACTTCACCATCACCGTCATCATGCTGTCGTGCTGATGGAACTCATCTACTACCTCGACACCTTGCTGGATCAAGAAGGCAAGGGATGTCACCGAGCTGAACGTGTGCAGAACTCGGAGGTGCCGTACGTTCGGTGCTTGATCGGTCGGATCTAGAAGAAGTTCGACTACATCAACCGCGCTGTCAAAACGCTTTCGCTTTCGGTCTAAGAGGGTACATAGACACACTTTGTTGCTATGCATCTCCTTGGATAGATCTTTGCGTGAGCATAGAAACCTTTTGTTTTCCATGCTACGTTTTCCAACAGGAAGCTCCTCGAATATGAGGTCATTGGGATTCTCATGCATAACTAAAACATGTCGTCTACAGTCATAATCCGACGGTGAGTGTTGTTTGCGCCAAGTTAGCAGCCCTTGCTAACATTCTGGGATAGTGGAGCAAATCCACGTTTGGTGGTGTGTGTGGCGAGAAACTGAAAAGGGAACTTGAAAGGTTGTGCGGTGACGCGGCTAGGACCGATCCAAGTACGCTGAAATTAAAATCAACGACCGCTTAATCGAGTTGTAGTATCTCCATGAGGAGTTGATGTGGCGCTAGAGGTCTCAAGTGGAGGGCTCTTGGCTGGTGATAGAAATGCACATTTTTCATCTCAGGGCATCAATCCGGCGCAGGAAGAATTTGATCAAGTCTTTGCAAAAACCATACGGTGAAATCATAGAGGACCCGACTGGGATGCAGCAGTTGGCGATGGATTTTTTTATCAAAATTTGTACGTGTTTGAAGGGGTGCAAGGGGTACCTAAGGTAATACAACATGTACCAGTTAAGGTAACAACGGCAATGTATGAGATTTTAATGGAAGAGAGCACTATTTTTAAATGTTTCCCACAAAGGCCCCTAGGTTTGATGGGTTCCCAGCTCACTTCTTCCAGTATCATTTGGACGTCTTATTTGTGTTTAGAGTTGTGTTGTGATGTTTTCCCGTGAGTATCTGATCTTGATCGGACATGTTTGCATGCATGATTAATGTACGATTGAATCGCGAGCGTCACAGACATATGTGGGGCTTTTGTCACTAAAGCAGTTCTCGGCATTGTCCGTGGAGAGGAAAATCCGGCCATAAATGGCACACTATCTATAGAGATACTAAGCTCCCTCGAATTGAAGCGCTCTGGTGCTTCAAGAGTTGTGGGGTCACTAGGGCCCCATGTGTAAGTGTGTATAGTTTAGTTTATTTCTTCTTCCCTTTTTATTTTTTTATTTTTTTTCACATTTTAATTCATGAGCACTTATTCAAATTTGTGTACTTTAAAAAACACAAACATATTTTGAAATTCTTCAAATTCGTTAATATTGATTAAGTTTGTGGATATTTTTAAAGTTCACGGCCATTTAAAGTCTGTGAACATTTTTTACATTTGAAAACATTTTATATTGTGAACATTTTTGAAACCATGAATATATTTTAAATTCACGAATGTTTCTAAGATGCATGGTTTTAAAAGTAATTATATAGTTTAAGTTCCTTAAACATCATTTAATTAAATAACCTTCTCAAATAAAAAAAGATAGGCGATTTTTCTGAGCTAGCAGTCGGGTGAGCAAAAAAAACTAATGGGCGAGAGGAGGAGGGAGCCAAGCTAAGCGAGCAAGAGCTTTGCGTGCTAGCCCATATGAGCATCACCGTAGCAATTCCATGGGTTTAGCGTGAAAAAAGAACTCCCAAGAGGCTCAAATAATCACCATCGGGCTAACACTAAGGCTAAAAGGTGCAAAAAATTCATAACCACGCATCAAATTACTCATCCCTTCTCTTGAGAAAAATAACTCCAACAGCAACCCAATACGATATAGAAAAAAACACCACCAAAAATAAACTAAAACACAAAGCGAACACACATAAAATCGAAACAAAACAACTAATCACAACAATATATAAATATAAAATTTTAATTGAACAAGTGAAGAACGGCGCGACTGCTTTTGGAACATGTGTCTAGGCAAATGTGGCGCCGTATCTCTCTACATTGCAGAAAGGGGAAAGATTAGCAGTGCAGCCGGCGCATGTGTGATTAGGGCGGCTGCTGGCATGTCATCGTGTGGTTGGGCACGTCTGCGCGAGGTGCTTGCCGACCCTCTGAACTCTCATGCTTGTATGGCTCAGGACGAGGGAGGTGAAGCAGGGACGCCTTTGAGATGGCTTGTCAGCCACGACAAGGATGAAGGGACAACACCGACATCGACGCCCGCTACCACCGCAGGCTGGGAGGGGTGTGGATGGGGCACACGACACGGCGGTGGTGTTGGCCAAGACGGCTCCATGTGCAATGGAAGGGGGCTACGCGGCAAAAGGCACAAATTTGACCTGAGGGCGAAACTATTTCACAAACTAAACAGTTTTTGAAAATATTTCACCCAACTGACCCCTTTGTGCAGCGCCCGACATCAAGGCATGTAAAATGTTAATTGAACAAGTGAAGAACGATGCAGCGAAGCACGCTTTAGCCTCTAGTTGGTACTAATCCCAAAGGCAATCTGACTCTCTTGTCACATTTTCGCCCCATTAGTCTCTGTAATGTTTTCTATAAGATAATGTCTAAAGTTCTTGCAAACCATTTGAAGGTTGCCCTGCCTGACATCACATTAGAGGAACAGTCGGCATTTGTACCTGGCAGGCTTATTACTGACAACATAATCTCAACGTACGAATATTTGCACTTCATGAAGAAGAACGGGAGAATAATAGTTTTTGTGCACTCAAATTGGACATGATGAAAGCCTGCGATAAAGTAGAAAGGAGCTACCTGAAGGCAATTATGGAAAAACTGGGATTCACAGGTCCGTCGATTTCATTCATTATGAACATGGTGAGCTCAGTATCCTTCTCTATTATTTTTAATGGGAGTAAATTGGAGGAATCCAAACCTACAAGAAGTATTCGACATGGAGATCCTATCTCTCTATATCTTTTTTTGTTGGCAGTAGAGGGTCTTTCGTGCCAGTTGAAACAAGAAAATGCTCATCCCAGCTTAGCGGAATCAAGGTGCCCCCATCTGCTCCGCCGGTGAACCACCTCCTATTCACGGATGATAGCATGTTGTTTTTCAGGGCAAGAGTAAATAGAGTAGAAGAGGTGTCACACTTTTTGGCTTATGGACAGAGAACAAACACAAAGAAATCGTTGATATTCTTCAGTAAGGGTTATCCAGAGATGCATTGAAGGGCCATCTTCAAGTCCCTGCCGAATCCTTGAGCAACGGATGTAGGGCACTCGAAGAAAGGAACATTCAAATACTTGAGTGATCGTGTGTGAGACAAGGTGACAGGATGGATGGGCAAGCTACTTTCAGCAAGTGGCAAAGAATACGTATAAAATCTGTTTACCCAATGCCATGTTTCAAACTTCCTAAAGGTTTATGTTGTAAGCATATAAATTCTATTATCCCAGTAGAGGTTTATGTTTCAAACTTCTTAGAAAACTACCTGAATTTCACTTTGCCAATTCGGCTAGTCCAGTCAGCAATTATGTCCAAAACCACTTCAGTGCCTAATTGTTCCGGTTTTGGACATTTGAGGAGGTGGATAATCTGGTTTGGGGTTTTCGATCCATGAGGCCGGGGTGGCGGAGGATTTCGGGAAACTATACTCTCTTTTTTTTTTGAGGCAAGGGAAAACTACTAGTACTTTTTTTTGTTGAGACAAAACTACTAGTACTTTCCTCGCAAAGAGGGCGGCCCAGCTAATTCTGGTCGGCCCACCTAAGGCAGTGGTATACGGGGTCCAGCCGCGGGGGCTCGCACCCACGCTGGGCGTTGGTGAACCCTGACGAAAGAAATTCCCCTTCTCTCGCTCCCCCCGTCCCGTGATGGCAGCAACGGCGCCCGGCGCCGGCGCCGTCGAGGTTTCCATGGTACCCCCCTCTCTCGCTCTCGCTCTCTCAGACCTCGTGGATCGTCAATTGCTCATCGGCCGGACTGAGCCTACGCGATTGCTGATGTAATTGGCGTGGTCGAAATCAACTAGGGTTTCACATCACGGGTTGGCGTTCGTGTCATGCAGGACGACAAGGCCAAGGCTTTGGTGGCCGCGAAGATCAAGGAAGGGGAGTACAAGGTGCAGATGATAGGACAGTACGCGGTGCGGACGGACCGCGCAATCGATGCGCTGGAGAAAAAGGTGCAGGACATCGAGGCGGTGATGGATCTCGAGCTGATGCTCGGCGAGTACTGCGCCGACCTCTCGGACATGCACAAGGCGCGCCACTACTACCGCGCCACCTCGCTCTCGGAGGAGGAGAAGCTCTACCTCCACCAAATCGACGACTTCGCCACCGCCACCATCGCCGAGTACGAGGCCAGCGTCGGCCCCGTCCCCGCCTTCGACAACCACCTCAGCCTGTTCAGCCAAGAAATCCCACTGGAGTTCCCCGAACCCTTGGCTCCCCCTCCCGCTTCTTCGGCTTCGGCTTCGGCTTCTCACCACGAGTGAGTTCTCGCTCCTTGCACCAGCATTCATGGTCACTATGCCTTGTGCCGGTTCCTTGCGATTGCAAACTAATTAGTCTACAGCCATTTCAGAATTCAGAGTAGTCTGCCTAGAACAGGCCTGTATGTTTGCCCGGTTTCAACTCAAAAGATGAAGTAATGATGTAGGCAATGGATAATTGGAGATTTTACCTCCTTGGAACTCTTCTATGTCCGATTGTAGTAATCAATTAACGGTTCAGATTTTGTATAGTACCAAGATAGATTAATCACAGGCTAGTAGAAATGTGCTAGTACAGTAGTACCTTGATTTATTCCACAGCCAGTAGAGCTGTAGAGGTGTGGTTGTAGCTCTATTACCATGGCTAGTAGTAAACTGGTCGTCATCAGGGGAATAAAAGTAGCAGCTAGGTAAATTATTAGGGTCGAACCAATCTATAATTCGTTCCTGGCTGCCCTCAAGATCTGCAAAGGGTCTTCACCAATACACCCCCTCTCCGGTTTTGTCTTAGCAGCAAAAAGATGTGACTGTCTAAATCGAGTAAGTTAGTACTTGTTTCTTGATCTGCTTGAGTTAATATCAGGTTCGCGATCAATTTGTTTCCTGAATGGCCTTTCATCCCAAACCAAATTACCAACCTGTAGATTAAATTTTAGGTGTGGTGTGGCTTGGGCTGTGGATAATGCCTTCAGACTTGTCTGTCCTAGCTCCAATTATGTCTTGTTCTATCTGCCTCGGAGCCTGGCATTCACTATTTCACTGCACACTTGATTATTCAAACTAGAAATGAATTACTTTAGGGTTATAGATATCTTCACGTGTTCCTTTTGGTTTGAGACACCAAGAACTTGAGAGCTTTGTGAAAACAGTAAGATCAATCACAACCGGTGAGTACGATGACAGGATGCAGTTACTGATTTAGCAGCCCTACTAAATAGATGTAGGTGGTATTCCATAGTATAAAACCAGTAACTTGTGCTGAGAAAACAAATATGCCTTTGTGAACAGACATTTGATTGCTTTTGTTCTATTATATATTAGCTACATAATGTTTGTGCATATATATAGGTGGGAGCCCAGCTCTGGCTTCTGGTTCGATCCCCCGTGCCACTTTCAACTCAAAAGTTGAAGTAGGGATGTAGGCAGAATGGGAGATTCTATCTCCTTGGGACTCTTCTACGTGTCCGATTGTAGTAGTCACTTAACAGTTGAGGTTTGGTATAGTACCTAGATAGTGGTTGTAGCTCTATTAGCTTGGCTACTAGTAGTAAATTGTTCAGGGGCACAAAAGTAGTCGCTCGGTATATTGTTCAGGGTCAAACCAGTTAATCTATAATTTGTTCCTTGCTGCCCTCAAGATCTGCAAAGGATCTTCACCAATTATTATTCTCTTTCGCCGAACGTTTACCATTGCTTTGCTACACACTGTTTAGAGCCCCTCCAGTTTTGTCTTCGCAGCGAAACAATGTGACTGTCTAGATGAAGTAGAATTTTGATCTGCTTCAGTTAATGTCAGGTCCACCATCGATTTGTTTCGTGAATGGTCTTTCATCCCAAACAAATGTACCAAACTCTATATTAAAGTGTTAGTTGTGGCGCGGCTTGAGCTTGTGGACAATGCCTTCAGACTTCTTCATCCTAGCTACAGTTTTGTCTTGTTCTATCTACCTCTCAGAGCCTGGCATTCACTATTTGACCACGTTCTTGATTTTTCATAGTAGAAATGAATTGCTTTGGGGTTATAGATATCTTCACGTGTTCCATTTGGTTGGGGACTCGAAGAAGTGGAGAACATCGCGAAAATGGTAGGATAACATGATAAGTACACTTGGAAAAGAGAGGCAGTTGCTGATTTAGCAACCCTACTAAATAGATGTAGGTGGTATACCATAGTATAACACCAGTATACCATAGTTATATTTATATATTAGCTGTGCATATATATAGGTGGGAGCCCAGATGTGGCTTCTGGTTCGACCCCCCATGGAAGCGAGTTTAGCCACTTTGGTTAAAATTCGTGTGGTTCCTCGGGGTCTCCGATGTAGCTCCTTGATATAATTTCGCGGGGCTCCTTGATATAATCAATTAACGGTGATGGATCTCAAGCTGATGCTCGGCGAGTACTGCGCCGACCTCTTGGACATGCACAAGGCGCGCCACTACTACCGCGCCACCTCGCTCTCGAAGGAGGAGAAGCTCTACCTCCACCAAATCGACGACTTTGCCACCGCCACCATCGCCGAGTACGAGGCCAACGTCGGCCCCGTCCCCGCCTTCGACAACCACCTCAGCCTGCTCAGCCAAGAAATCCCACTGGAGTTCCCTGAACCCTTGGCTCCCCCTCCCCCTTCTTCGGCTTCGGCTTCGGCTTCTCACCACGAGTGAGTTCTCGCTCCTTGCACCAGCATTCATGGTCACTATGCCTTCTGCCGGTTCCTTGCGATTGCAAACTAACTAGTCTACGACCATTTCAGAATTTCAGAGTAGTATGCATTATTCTATATGCAGAGTAGTATATGCCCAGAACTGGCCTGTATGCCTGCCCGGTTTCAAATCAGAAGATGAAGTAATGTTGTAGGCATAATGGGAGATTTTTATCTCCTTGGAACTCTTCTGTGTATCGATTGTAGTAATCAATTATCGGTATAGATTTTGTATAGTACCTAGATAGATTAATCGCATGCCAGTAGAAATGTGCTAGTACGGTAGTACCTTGATATATTCCACAGCCAGTAGAGTTGTAGAGGTGTGGTTGTAGCTCTATTACCATGGCTAGTAGTAAACTTATCATCATCAGGGGAATAAAAGTAGCAGCTAGGTAAATTTTTCAGGGTCAAACCAATCTATAATTCGTTCCTGGCTGCCCTCAAGATCTGCAAAGGGTCTTCACCAATACACCCCCTCTCCGGTTTTGTCTTAACAGCGAGACGATGTGACTGTCTAGATTGAGTAAGTTAGTACTTGTTTCTTGATCTGGTTGAGTTAATATCAGGTTCACCATCGATTTGTTTCCTGAATGGCCTTTCATCCCAAACCAAAGTGCCAAACTGTAGATTAAAGTGTTGGGTGTGGCGTGGCTTGGTCTGTGGACAATGCCTTCAGATTTGTCCGTCCTAGCTCCAATTATGTCTTGTTCTATCTGCCTCGGAGCCTGGCATTCACTATTTCACTGCACACTTGATTATTCAAACTAGAAATGAATATTCAAACTAGAAATGAATTGCTTTAGGGTTATAGATATCTTCACGTGTTCTGTTTGGTTGGAGACACCAAGAACTGGACAACTTTGTGAAAACAGTAAGATCAATCACAGCCGGTGAGTAGGATAACAGGATGCGGTTACTGATTTAGCAGCCCTACTAAATAGTAGGTGGTATTCCATAGTATAACACCAGTAACTTGTGCTGAGAAAACAAATATGCCTTTGTGAACAGACATTTTGATTGCTTTTGTTCTATTTATATATTAGTTACATAATGTTTGTGTATATATGTAGGTGGGAGCCCAGTTCTGGCTTCTCGTTCGACCCTCCGTGGAAGCGAGTTTAGCCACTTTCAACTCAAAAGATGAAGTAGGGATGTTGGCAGAACGGGAGATTCTGGCCCAGTTCTTTTGGCCGATTCTCTCAGAATCTTGAGAATCGACCCTCCATCCATCTTCTCTCAGAATTTTGAACCCATATTTTTTTGACAATCCTAGTTGTTTAGATCCTAACTAGCTAGGATTGTAAAAAGTTATGAGTTCAAGATTCTGGGAGAAGCTGAGGGGAGGCCCGATTCTCAAGATTCTGGAAGAATCGGCCAAAAGGACTGGCCCTCTATCTCCTTGGGACTCTTCTACGTGTTCGATTGTAGTAGTCAATTAACAGTTGAGATTTGGTACATTACCTAGATAGTGGTTGTAGCTCTATTAGCATGGCTAGTAGTAAATTGTTCAGGGGGACAAAAGTAGCCGCTCGGTAAAGTATTCAGGGTCAAACCAGTTAATCTACAATTTGTTCCTCGCTGTCCTCAAGATCTTCAAAGGATCTTGACCAATTATTATTCTGTTTCGCCGAACGTTTACCATTGCATTGCTACACACTGTTTAGAGCCCCTCCAGTTTTGTCTTAGCAGCGAAACGATGTTAGTGTCTAGATCGAGTAGGTTAGTACTTGTTTCTTGATCCGCTTGAGTTAATATATCAGGTTCACCATCGATTTGTTTCCTGAATGGCCTTTCATCCCAAACCAAAGTACCAAACTGTAGATTAAAGTGTTAGGTGTGGGGTGGCTTGAGCTGTGGACAATGCCTTCATACTTGTCCGTCCTAGCTCCAATTATGTCTTGTTCTATCTGCCTCGGAACCTGGCATTCACTATTTCACTGCACACTTGATTATTCAAATTGGAAATGAATTGATTTAGGGTTATAGATATCTTCACGCGTTCCGTTTGGTTGGAGACACCAAGAACTGGAGAACTTTGTAAACAACAGTAAGATCAATCACAGTCGGTGAGTAGGATAAATGGATGCATTACTGATTTAGCAGCCCTACTAAATAGATGTAGCTGGTATTCCATAGTATAACACCAGTAACTTGTTCGTAGAAAACAAATATGCCTTTTTGAACATACATTTTGATTGCTTTTGTTCTATTTATATATTAGCCACATAATGTTTGTGCATATATATAGGTGGGAGCCCAGCTCTGGCTTCTGGTTCGACCCCCGTGGAAGCAAGTTTAGCCACTTTCAACTCGAAAGATGAAGTAGGCATGTAGGGACTCTTCTACATGTTCGATTGTAGTAGTCAATTAACAGTTGAGATTTGGTATAGTACCTAGATAGTGGTTGTAGCTCTATTAGCATGGCTAGTAGTAAATTGTTCAGGGGCACAAAAGTAGCCACTCGGTAAAGAATTCAGGGTCAAACCAGTTAATCTATAATTTGTTCCTCGCTGCCCTCAAGATCTGCAAAGGATCTTCACCAATTATTATTCACTTTCAACTCAAAAGATGAAGTAGGGATGTAGGGACTCTTCTACGTGTCCGATTGTAGTAGTTAATTAACAGTTTGGATTTGGTATAGCACCTAGATAGTGGTTGTAGCTCTATTAGCATAAATTGTTCAGGGGCACAAAAGTAGCCACTCAGTAAAGGATTCAGGGTCAATCCAGTTAATCTATAATTTGTTCCTCGCTGCCCTCAAGATCTGCAAAGGATCTTCAGCAATTATTATTCTCTTTCGCCGAATGTTTACCATTGCATTGCTACGCACTGTTTAGAGCCCCTCCAGTTTTGTCTTAGCAGTGAAACAATGTGACCGTCTAGATGAAGTTAGTACCTGAATTTTGATCTGCTTCAGTTAATGTCAGGTTCACCATCGATTTGTTTCGTGAATGGTCTTTCATCCCAAACCCATGTACCAAACTCTAGTAAAGTGCTAGGTGTGGCGCGGCTTGAGCTTGTGGACAATGCCTGCAGACTTCTCCGTCCTAGCTCCAATTATGTCTTGTTCTACGTGCCTCTCAGAGTCTGGCATTCACTATTTCACTACACACTTTATTTTTCAAACTAGAAATGAATTGCTTTGGGGTTATAGACATCTTCACGCCTTCCATTTGTTTGGGGACATGAAGAAGTGGAGAACATCGTGAAAATGGTGAGATCAATCGCAAACAGCGAGTCGGATAACAGGATAAGTACACTTGGAAAAAAGAGAGACGGTTACTGATTTAGCAGCCCTACTAAATAGATGTAGGTGGTATACCATAGTATAACACCATTATACCATAGTTCTATTTATATATTAGCTACATAATGTTTGTGCATATATCTAGGTGGGACCCAGATGGTGGCTTCTGGTTAGATCCCCCCGTGAAAGGGAGTTCAGCCACGTCGGTTAAAATTCGTGGGGTTCGGCTCGGGGTCTCCTGTAGCTCCTTAATATAATTTCGCGGGGTTCCTCCCCAATTGGACTTTTTTTTTTGAATGTTTGTGCACACATTCAGTTGTGTTGTTGACTATCATGTAGGCCTGCTGTGGACAATGGAGGGGATGTTGCATGCTAAGAGATGATCGCCTGGAGCACCCTGCCCCTTTCATTTCTTCACCGCATTGTCATCCAAGTCGGCTATCATGGTTCTAGGGGCTTTCACCCTATTTTAAGCATGTCTGCAGTTTGACTGACGACGACTAATTTAAACTTGGAGCTGTGAGATTGTCAGTACGGGTGTAGGTATGAACATCTCAGATGTATGCGAACGTGTGGGTTCTGAAGTGTGATTCATGCTTGCATTGCTCTGTGCCTATCATCACATCGTTTCTATTACTGGATCATGGCTGTTGGCGTGTTGAGAATTGGTTGAATGTCAGTTCATATGGATGACTAATTTAAGCTCTCCATGGTTTCACCAATTTCAAGTCTGTTTTAACAATGCAGTTTCGATTGTCAACTCTTTTTTCTTTTGAAAAAAGAAAAGAAAAAATCATGCAGTATGTGTGGGGATTGAGAAGTGATCATAAGGCAGAGTATTTTTTTGTGAAAGGCAGAGCTATTCAACTTCAAGAGGCAGAGAAAGGGCCTAGCACTTTCCGTAAGCTCGTTCCACAAAATTAGCTGGAACTTCACATCCGTGGGTGCCGGCAAAACAGGCTATTGACAGACGAAGGTAAATATTTACTAGGATAGTACTCCCTCCGTCCCAAAATATAAGAACGTTTTTTACACTATATTAGTGTCAAAAACGCTCTTATATTTTGGGACAGAGGGAGTATAATATAATAATAAATAGGCAATAATAATAATATAATAATAAATAGGCAAAAATACAAGCCCTCACAAGCAACCAAAGCTGAGAGATCCTAGCAACCTTCCATTCATCCGATCCCAAGTTCCCTGATGTGAAGCAACGCATTTCCTTTTGTCCAAGCGGTTGGGATCAGGAGATGACGCATAAACATGGTCTGCTTTCTGTCAGTCTAGTACTGTATGTTTTAAGAACGAATGTAGTACTCCATTTGTTCTAGTAACTAGTTAAGCTTCACATGGATGAACTGTAACTAGTTACTAGTACACCAGGTATATCAAGGTGTGAGAGATGTGAAGAGTAACTAGTTTTGGCTTAACTGGACCGACAATGAAAAGATGAGGCATAAACACGGCAACAAAAAGGGCACAAACAGGCTCAGCTAGTTGCAGCAGCAGTAAAGGCAAGGCAACAACATAAGCCACCACTACATCCAATCCAAGGAAAACACAGCACCGGCTATCCGTTTGGTTCTACAGGATGGGATATATGAGTTTCTCCAATGCAGGCCTCCGGGCTACAAGATCAAGGAAGGAGGGCTATCACCACCGATGTCAAGAAACCTCTTGAAATATAAAAAAATATTAATCTGGCCACTCAAATTTCATGAAAGTAGGGCTTCGTGCAATTGTGCTGCATGAAGCAGAAGGATGGTTCTTCTCCTAAGATGCCCATGAGTCAATTTTATTTGCTGGCCGAAGATGTGCACCAAGAGAATCGGTAATTAATCCATATGCAGCTGGTGAGTCAAGTAGATGCAAGAGGCTCCTTGTTGTCCCATCTCTCCACACAAGAAAAACCAACTCAAAGAAGCAACGCTCACAGGGAACAAAAAAGATTCTTATGGCATACTGAACTGCTGTTCTTCCAAAAACTTTGCTATCTCATTTATGATAAGGATAGTCCTCACAGGCTATAAGAAGATGATGGCTTTGGAGAAATTTGAATAATGGACGCCAACTTCTTAAACTGAAACCAACATAAGACAGCTCACCAATCCAAGGAACACCCAGCACATGAATGACACTGAGGCGCACCCAAGAAGCTGCAAAGAATTTCTGCCAGCATTAGAGAGCCAATCAGTTCAAGCACCACATATCTCTCAACTTCACCATATTTTGTCACTCCAAAGTATTTGGCGCAAAGATCTTCACACATAACTGCATAACTATTTAATTCTGGACAATCAGTGTGGAGATGGTACTTTGATTATGATTGACCTCCAGTGATTTCAAGCATTAAATAGAGTTTGGAGTGACATCTGGTTAGAGGCCAGCTTAAAGTTCAAGATCAAGACGGATCTGTCACAACCAGGGTCAAGAAATCTCTTAAAACATCGAGAAATAGAAATCTGCCTACTCAGAATTATTGTCCAGGTACTGTAGTACTCCCTCCGTTTCTAAACATAAGACTTTTTAGAGATTTCAATACGGACTATATACAAATGTATATAGACGTATTTCAGAGTGTAGATTCACTCATTTTGCTCCGTATGTAGTCCATATTGAAATATCTAAAAAGGCTTATATTTAGGAACGGAGGGACTCGTGAAAGCTTCTATCTAGTTCTACACTAACAGAGCAGCAACACAAGATAAACATCATCATTGGATCCCCAACAGAGGCACAATCAGCAGAAATAATCACATAATACAGATAACTGAACCATGGTGGGATTACTGCAACACGCGCGCCAATACATAGTACCATAACATATGTTCTACCACCTCATCGTTAGGGTCTTATCACGAACATGCATTAAATTAGGGTAATTTGTACCATAATAATAATAATAACAACCACTCATTCAAGTAGCGACCGCCCGACGACGATGGTGGCGCGGCGTTGGAGGGCGGCGGCAACGCTGTCTTTCAGGAGGACGGCGGCGGCCAGCTCGATGTAGGTGGGGGGCCGGGAGCCGCGCTTCTCCTTGATCAGGCGCAGGCTAGCAGCGATCTTGGCCAGCCGGTCCTCCCGAACTCGCAGCGACGCGAAGCGCGTGGTGAAGGATGAGACCTCCGCCTCCTCCCCCATCTCGCCACCGCTGATATCCATCGCGGTGTACTGCCTCGCGAGGCTCGCCTCTTGCGCCGCCGGGAGAGATGCGGCGCCGCCGGCTACTTTCGCCGCCATCGCAGGGGGGGATCCGGGGGAAGGGGGAAAAGTGGAGCTCTTTAGGGATTTTAGGGCAGGGGAGCGTGGGGTTGGGGAGTGATCTGCGGAAGACGACGCCCTGTAACTCTCGTCGAACCTTTTTACATACAATTACGTAGGTTTACGTAGGGCTGTTCGTAGGTGTAGCAATTTTGTTTTACATATGCCGACCAGGCCTAAAGTACGGCCTATTGAAAATGCCGGTGTTGGCTGCAGGGCCCATTGGAAGAGGCTCATTACGTCAAAATGCTGTCGAACGCACAGAGCGAGTTACTGAGCTGGGCCTGCCCATTTGATGAGTTGAGGAGCGGTCGTTCGCAGCCTCCCCAAGGCTATTTGGAGTTATCGCCGTCGCGTGTCGCACTCTGTGTCACAACATGTTTTCTTCTTCCGCGAGCGTGCCTCTCGAAAACGGCTTTCGAAAAAGGAAAAGATGCTCCTGGTTCGTTTTTTTATTTGATTTATTCGTCTGAACTTTCCGTATTTTTTTTGTCAAAACCTATCAACATGGAATCTAACTTTGAAGATCTCGACGCGAGGAATTCAATGCTGAAAATGGTTCAAGATTTGGATGCACGCTTTAAGAGATAAAACGTTTTGAATAAATAAATCTACAAAAAGATAAAAAACTCATACGTCACTTGTTTCAACCTGAGGAGAGCGAGATGACCTTCGGAAGGACTACTCTTCAATTAGTGATTTCGCCATTTGACATTTCGAAGCTTTTTACGAAGGTTCCAGCCTGGGCTTACGAAGGTTTATCGAATGATATTGTGAAACAATACGAGAGATTGAACGGGACATTGGAGAGGTGAAAGCCTAGCGTTCCATACCAGGTGCTTTACAGAAGGAAAAAAAGTGCCCAGATTCTGTGAAGTTTGTTGAATGGGGCACAAGTCAACCGAGTGTGGTGATGTTGTTTGGGAAGAACAGTCTTGATGGCGTGATGATGGTCAGTTCAAATATGCACGTGGTGGCGTGGAGGAATATCTAGAGGAAGAGGACATGAAAATAGCAGTGGGAGGGGTGATTCATTTACGATGATGATCCAGCTTCGGTACATAACACTTCCTATCAAGATGGCACACTTATAGTACATGATCTGAAGTCAACGTAAGAGGCTTAATTTTTTTTACTCAAACAAGCGATCCTCCAAAAACTAGCAATGCAGTGGCAATTGTGGGCTCTATGAAGAATGAGAAGAATGAAAAAATGGTCTAAGAAGAACAATATTGTGGACGGACGGCTCTGAGCTCCGTCTCCTCTGAGCTCCATCTCATCCGAGCATCGGCCGCCACTCCGGCCCCGGTGGCCACAAGCCACGCCGGCCACCACTCTGGTGCTGGCGTCCACCTCCCCTTCTCCTGGCGCGCTTTGTCCCTGGCCGCTGGATGGCCTCGCGCGTGTCCCTTTCCGCGTTGCTGTCGTCCTCGGGCTCTGCCTCCCCGCCCTCCGCTGTGATCGATTGTCGTCTTCCCCGACATCGTGGGCACTGCGTATGGAGCGATAACTCATGGTGGTCCCGCCGGCCGCGTCCGCCTACGAGTGGCGCACCAAGACGGGTCGTTGCCCCTGGAGCCCCGCGTCGGCGCCACCCCCTGCCCAGCGCCGTTGATGAACATTCCGACATGCCTCCATGGATCCTGGTACAATTGTGGGGACGATGGCCATATCTCGCGGGAGTGCTGGAAGAAGACGATGTGTGTGCGCTACGGGGGCGAGGGACACATCGCCACAGATTGCACAAAGCCCTAGAGTGCCTCGCGTTCATCGCCTTTGGCGCCCCCTCGGTGACGCCGCCCGCCCCGCGGGGTGATCCTGCTCGCCAACGCATTCTGGAGTTGTTGAGTAACGTGATTGTATAGGAAAGCTAGGATAGCGTAGGATATTATTCTACCTTGCCTTGTACTCCAAGATGATCATGTACTCCTATATATATGCCCACGAGGCTCAAGCAATACAACAACTATTCCACCAATCTCTCTCTATCCCTTCTAACATGGTATCAGTTTCCGGGTTCTAAACCCTAGCCGTCGCCGCTTCCGCACCTGCGCGCCGCACCCGGGGCGGTCGGCCTCCATGACCGCGCCGGGGGCCACGCCGCCCGTA